TCTTGGCTTTTAGTGTTAACCCACATGATCATCTTAACCACTTGGAACAAGTTTTTGATGTGCTAAGGAATCACTTTTTGTGAATTTGAAAAAATGCACATTTATGACGAACAATGCCGTCTTTCTGGGGTATGTTGTTTCATCTGAGGGAATTAAAGTAGATCATGAAAAGGAGAAGGCCATAGCTGAGTGGCCGGTGCCAAAGTCACTCACTGAGGTGCGTTCTTTTCATAGCCTAGCGACCTTATATGCTGCTTTATCAAAAATTTCAACACTCTAATAGCAACAATTGTATGAGGGTTAAAAAGTTTTCATGGAGTCCTATTGCTGAGAAGAGTTTCACTCTAATTAAACAAAAGATGATGCAAGCATCAGTACTCGCATTACCAGATTTTTCTAAGGCGCCTGAGGTTGAAACGGATGCATCAAATATTAGCATAAGGGCATTTATAAATCAAGAGGGGTGACCAATAGCTTTCTTTAGTGAGAAGCTGAATGAAACACATAAAAGTACTCCGTCTATGACCTTGAGTTTTATGCAGCCGTGCAAGCCTTGCGCTATTGGAGGTAGCGCTTGATCCATAGGGAGTTTATTTTTTACTCGGATCATGAAGCACTGCGGTAGTTGAATTCCCAAAAGAAGTTGAATGCATATGTTAAGTTGATGTCTTTCCTTCAAGAATACACCTTCCTATTAAAGCACAAGGCTGGAACCCAAAATAAGGCAATTGATGCTTTAAGTAGAAGAGTAGCCTTGCTTGGAACTTTGTTTATGGAAGTGTTAGGGTGAAGTGATATTTCTACAAGGTCCTTGAAAGATGTGTTGATGCTCGAGACCCCATAGGTAAGTATCTCGTGCATGATGGCTATTTATTTAAAAGTGCGCGGTTATGTATACCTGATTGCTCCCTAAGGGAGAAGAGCTTCGTGGTGGAGGCTAAAGTGGGCACTTTGGAAGGGACAAAAATATGGTTATGGTTGAAGAAAAGTATTTTTGGCCATCCATGCGAAGGGATGTTGATCAATTTGTGGCCCGATGCAGAACTTGCCGAGTATCCAAAGGTTATACAAATACAGGCCTTTATACTCCCTTCCCTGTTCCAGATGCCCCATGAGTTGATATCCATAGACTTTGTACTTGGACTTCCATGTACCACACGACATATGGACGTTATTTATGTGGTTGTTGATCGATTTGCCAAAATGGCACATTTTATCCCTTGTAGGAAAACTATGAATACTACACATTGCCAATCTCTTTTTCAAAGATATTGTGAGGCTACATGGCATTCCAAATCTATTACATTTGATCGGGATACAAAGTTCTTAAGTCATTTTTGGCACACTTTGTGGAAGAGTCTGGGAACCAAACTTCAATTTTTTAGCGCTTATCATCATCAAATAGATAGGCAAACTGAAGTAGGGAATAGGAGACATGGTAACCTCTTGAGGAGTATTGTTCATGATAACATATCTCAATGGGATCTCACTTTGTCCCAGGCTTAGTTTGCTTACAATCCAGTGAATTGGTTTATAGGAAAATCACCATTTGAGATTGTTAATGGGCGGACTCCTAATCATGTTCTTGACCTAGTGCCATTACCCATGCCAGGCAAGATAAGTGATGACGCCAATGCTTTTGTTGAGCATATCTGGGATTTGCAAGCTCAGATTAGATGAAAATTGAGTAAAACAATATAAAGTATCGAAAATTCTCAAATGCGTATAGAAGAAAGAAGATTTTTAATGAGGATGACTAAGTAATGGTGTACTTGCGAAATGAGGGGTATCCATTAGAGACCTATAATAAGCTCAAGTCCAAGAAGGTGGCCCTTGCCACATTTTTTGAAGAAATATAGAAATAATGCATATGAGGTGGAATTACCAAAGGCATTGGTTATCTCCCCGATATTTAATGTTGCTGATTTATTTTAATTTCATAGAGACCCTCTAGAAGTCCAAGAAGTAGTTGTTGATATGATGAAGCAATTTTCGATAAAGAAAAAAGAGGAAATTGAGCAAGTTTTGGAGATTGGAAGCTTTCAAACTCGAAATTATTGCCAATATCTAGTGAAATGGAAGGGCAAGCCACATTCTGATAGCACGTAGATTTCTAACGAAGAGTTCAAAAAGGGTGGATCCAAAGTAATACCGTATCTATCTCGAAGCCAACTCACCAGAGTCGAGTTCCTTTCAACGGGAGGAGAATGATGCAACCATGTCTCAACCAATAGTTTGTGGCTAGGCAAAGGGTCGTATGACCCAAGGTTGAAGAGAGGGGCAACAATGTAGCAAAAAGAATTATTTGGGTTTTATTTTTATTTTAATTGTTATTTTTATTTCATTAGGGGCAAGTTTAGTTATTTATAAAGTTAAAAATGGGTGGCTAGATAGAATAGATGGCCAGGATTTTGTAAGAGCTCTTCAAGGTAGGGTTATTTAACTAATTGTTATTCAAGGGTTTAGGGAGTTCAATTGTTATTATTTTACAAAGAACTTTTGGTGAATAAAACTTTGGGAGGTGATTCCTCTTCGTTGGTGATTTTTTCCTTCATTCTCTAATCTTATTCTCTTTAAGGCTTGTCACAGCTCTCTGTGAATTAAGGTGTTGACTTGTAAAGAATCAACCCTAATTTGCATCACAAACCTTTCCATCATCACCCATGAAATAATCTATTATCAACAAAAATATCACTACAAAACCCAAAAAGGTAACAAAGTTTGGGTTTTAAGGTGAAAATGAGAAGAATTACTAACCTTGATCCTTGAGGGATCAAATATAACATGAATTACTAACCTTGATCCTTGAGGGATCAAATATAACATCAGCCTTGTTTTGCAAAAGGGCAACCGAAGCTCGAGAGACACCAGGAAGGTTGGATATTGCAGATTCTACAGAGTTGGAGCAAGCAGCACAGGTCATACCAATCACTCTGAGCTGAACATTTTTCTCCCGTTTTATCCCTAGCTCTTCATCTATTTCCCGCTCGTCTTCATCATCAAGGAGCCTGACCTCTTCCATGTCGCCTGAATTTCTTTTCAGGCGCCCCAGGGAAGTGAGTTGCAGGTCTCTCATGCTTGGAGCCATCGCGGAAAGCTTAGGTCCCAACAAGGGAAGAGAGAGAAGGAACAAAGGTGTGCCTGATCAATTGAGAATCCCTCTCTCTCTCTCTACAATGAGGCTTGCTCAATTGAGTATTTTTTTCCCTCTCTCTCTCTCTCCACAGAAGGGGAGGAAGAAGAAAGTCTAGGCTGGCCTACACAGAAGAGAATTTTCTCCTCTGCTCCTTCTCTCTCTATCCCCCTCTTTCTCTCTCTAATTAAGGGGAAGAAGGAGAAGGAACAGGCGGCCTGATCGAATTACACTCCCTTCTCCACCTCCTGTCTTCCTTCCTCTCTCTCTGTAAAAATACGACTTTCTCTCCTCCCTCTCCTCTCTCAACCCACCCTCTCCTCTTCCTCTCTCTCTCTAAAAACGTCTCTCTCTCACTCTCTCTCTCTCTCAAAAAATACCTCTCTCTCTCTCAACACGCCACAGGGATCGGGTATGTACCCGAGGCGTTTTAAACGGGAGAGGGTTTCTATCGCAGACTCTATCCCCACCCAAATATTTGGTAGAATCCACTTTCCCTATCGTCTTTTTCGCACTTTCTGGCTATATAATATGGTGTTCAGAGCAAAATAGATGGGTGCGTATAGTAGAGTTTACGTTTCTTCGTCTTAACACCAAATATTTAACACGTTTGACAACAAACCTTTGTACTACCATCTCGTACAAAAGTACCCTTTTCTCGTCCACGCCTTTCCTACCCTATCTTTATTGATAATGACAATGCCTCCATAAATGAGCTCAGCATTTCTTTTTCTTTTTTTTCCTTTATACAGTTGAATCGATACTTGTTTGAGGTGTGCCTTATTTTTACCGTATGAAGTTGATGTATTAGTGCATTAGATTAACTTTTTAGTTAAAATTAAACCAGTGTTGAAGCTTGTTGGGTAAAAAGTTTGAAATACAAGTCAGCTAAACATAAGAGTGCTTACCCAAAAAAAAGAGTGGTTAACTTCAAATGGGGTCGTTTAATATAGGAATGTGGGAAGGTGGAGTTGGCATACAAACTCCTCCGTAGGTGTAGAGGTACAGTGCCTTTCAAATTTTATCATGGTGTATAATTTTGATATAAAATGTTATTAGGATTATCTCAAAATCTATTTTTATATCTAATTATAAAATTTTCAATTTTAAAAATGGTTAAAATCAAGTATATCTATAAACATATGAAAATCTTGAAAATGGACGGTGTAGATAATATGTTGTAAAATGCACTATTTCTAGGACTTAAAATCTTTTTATTTTTCATGGTTATACATCTCAATGTCGAGATGATCAATCAAAGGGCTTTTCAATATTAAAACTACCTTTTCCGATGGAATTTTTTGATAGGCATCCTTCATTCTACATTATAAGGTAGCATCCTTATATAAACTTTTGCCATGTGGGGAAGTGACTTCATTTATTATTGGCATGTAGGGGAGCGGTATTGACGCGGACCCAGACCCGGGCTTGGACCCGAACCTAAAAAAATGATATGGGATCCAAATCTGACCATACCCGAATTCACCGAACCCAGACACGAAAATGTAGTGTGATACCTAGGACTGGACTCACCTAAAAAATTAGAATATCTATATAGTTAACTATTTTTAAATGTATTTTATATATTGAGACTCGAAAAATATTACTGGACCCATACTCGAATAGTATTCAGATCCAAAAATTGGACCCTGATCTGACCTGTCGAGTACAATTTTTGCATCCATACTAGACCGAGATCGGGTCTGCCCTCGGGTCCTGGGTCAAGTTCGAGTCCATTGCCTCCCTATCGACGCTTAAAGTTCTATTATGCCTACATCACTAAAAAAATCTATTTTATTATGAATTTTACAAAGGAAAAAAAACTATACAAGGCCTTGATTTCACAATAAAAACTAAAGTCCCGTCCCAAAATCCTATTAGAAAATAAGGTTTTAGTGCTAAAATTTTTCAAATTAATCATCTCAACCTCTGCAATTATGAATTTGAAAAAAAAGGATTTTAGATTATCCACATTGTCTATTTTCAAGTATCCATATATCGACTAAATCTACACCATTTTTTAAGCTTCAAAATTTATAACCAGGGGTGAAAATAGATTTTCGGCCCATGATAGGAGTTTTCCAATGTCAAAACTGTATTTCTTTTAGCATGCTTCAACAAAGATAACACATGCCGAAGCTCCGCTTTTCGGGTAAAGTAACAAACCTTACGTCGTATCACTAATATCTAGGAAAAATCCAACTGAAACTATTAATCGCACAAAGGGCCGGAAGCAGTTCAACCAGCCTAACTGGTAAATCGGGTGGTTCGACCGGCCTAACCTATCAATTAGTAAAAAAATATTAAAAAATACGAAAAAGTTGAATAAAATAATATTAAAAATACAAAAAAAAAATTAATAAAATATAAAAAATATATTTAAAGCATGCTTAAATAAAGTACATTCAAATGAAGTTAAAAATTAATGAAAAATAGATTTTAAATTATCGATTGGTGTCTAGGGATATTTTTCAAATTTTCCAAAAAATTAAAAAATATAATAATAAGTATTAAAGGTCAAAATAATTTTCAATCTTTCTCAAATTGACGAAAACATTAAAAATACATTACAAGCAAAATCTTTTATTTTTTAGAATTTTATATTTTTTAAAATTTGCCTACCAGTTCACCAAATTTGGCCGAAACCGAAATCCGACCATTCGCCGCGATGGAGGGAGCTGCCTCTAAAGGGATGATGGCCATCGTAGAAGACGAGACCTTGAAACTAATGGACTCCTCGAGCCCTGAGGACGTAAGTTAACAATTTAAATGGGAACATAGGTTCACGTGCCAAGATTTTTAAAGGAATGGTATAGCATCCACGTGATATGGACATTAGAACCTTTCAAATTTTTAAAGGCATTGTAGTTAATTTTTGTTTTATTATTTTTGTTTGATGTGTCTTATAAAAAAAAAAAGTTTATATAAAACCGAGGTTCTAAATAATCACATTTGAACCTACCTCAAAAATTTTACTAGACCAGATTGTTTTGATGCCCAAAAATCCTCAAATTGATCATCTCGATATCAAGATACATGTACATGAGAAAAAAATTGATTTGAAGTTATGGAAATAATTTATTTTGTAATACATTTTTTTATAGTCAATTTTCAAGATTTTCAAGTTTTCATAGATATGTCGATCTACACTATTTTTGAAGCTTTAAACTTTATAAATAAAAATCAAAATATATTTTAAAGATATCACAGATATTTTCAATTAGGAAACCACATTTCTCGATACTACTTAAAGGTAGGCTCTAATTTGATTGTTTAGAGCCGAGGCTCTATACAAACGGCACCCCTTATAAAATAAATCTACATCCTAAATTTTAAATAATATAATTCTTAAATTAAATTAAAAATTAAATTATATTTTGCCAATGGATATAGCTTTATTCAATCGGAACTATTTGAAGGGTGTGCACCCTTTCACCAACCACATGATGTGGACGGGAGACCTTCCCTTTTAGAATTTAGTATTTTGGACCATGAACAAATATACCTTTTATTTTCATACAATTAGAAGGAAATGTATAGAATGAGATTTTTATTTTTATTTTTTTATTTTTGCGTGAGTTAGTGGGAAAAGGCCTCTTATCTTTGATAAAAATTGAGCCTTGGACGTAACGTTGCAAATTGTCAAGTACTAACCAATTAAGCCCGTCTTTTTACCTAATGAAACTATTTATTTTTGATACAAAAAAATCACAATTATAGCATTAGATTTGAAATCAAGTAGTTGATGATATATTATTATTTGGGCACAAAATGTAAAATGTATTTTTTTACACATTGCGACACATTTCTATCTATTTGATTTCACATCTAATAGTTAAAAATGGTTATGACCTCTTTACATAAAAAATAAATAGTCTCATAATATAAATCCCCAATGAAAATATTCACATTTACATTTTTAATAATTGTATATTTTTCAAATGTTTATATTTTCTCTTCTTTTATTGGAAAATAAATTGGGCAAACCATCTCACCAAAACACAAACTCCCGCCCCTAAAAAAAAAAAAAAATTGCCATCGTGAATTCTAAAGAGCTTCCTCATTGTGGACGCGCATGTAATTATTAAGAATAAAAAGGGTAATCTTTTTTCTTTTCTTTTATTAAAAAAACCTTTTGACCAAACGTTTGACAAACTGCCGTTGTGATGAAACATTTGTGACCTGGTCGTATTTGATCGCGTCCAATAAGACTTTCTCGAACCATTTTCCGGATGAAGTTTCTATAAGGCCTAGGTTATATGAAAACAAAATAAATCCTCACATCAATTCCTCCTTTGAAAATCACTTTGGGCAAGAAAAATCTCTAAAATAAAATTTTAACATCGACAATAAAAAGTTTTACAGATCTTGTGGATCGAAGAACACTTATTTTTAGAGCAAAATAGACGGTTGAGATAATTTATTACAAGTTACAGTATTTTTAGAGTTTAAAATCCTAATATTTTTTTACGACCATGTTCAAATGATGGATGAGAAATTTTTCCAACGCTGATGAGTCATGAGGTGAGGCTTATTTTGATAGTGGGCACCAGCTCTCTCAAACCACTTTCTTTTAAGGAATTATTATATATTCTCGTGGGAGTATACATACTGTATCTTTACTCCCTAGGCTAAAAGAGCCAGCTAGGAGGATTCTTTGGATATGAAACTTTGACCTCTACTTAAAAATCACCAATTATTTTTTCCCAAAAAAACAAAATATTTGTATTGTAAGTTCCTAAACGCTTGCATCTGGGTTGTCCAAAAATGGAACAACTACATCAATTTTAGGCATTATTTTTTCGAGTTATTTTTTGAAGTTCACATATAGACAGAGTGGAATTGAATTTCTTTTTTTATTTTTTAAGTTGGTGGCCGGGTGAAAGATTACGTGTTCCAAAATTTTGGGGTCCTAAAAATCATTGCTTAATGAGATTACTGTAAGGGAGTAAACA